TCTATGAATCAGACCTGACAGAGTGTGGCATCGATATCAGAGCAGCCTCAGTTTACTCAGGAGTGTTCACACAGGTCTTCAGAGAGGAGAGAGGGCTCTACCAGGATACAGTGTTCTGCTTCATTCATCTAAGTGTTCAGGAGTTTCTAGCTGCTCTTCATGTTCACTGGACCTTCATCAACTCTGGTGTCAACCTTATGCAAGAAAAACAAAGATCTAAACCATCATTCGTATCCAAGAAACCTAAACTAAGCTCTCTCCACCAAAGTGCTATTGATCAGGCCTTACAGAGTCCAAATGGACACCTGGACTTGTTCCTGCGCTTCCTCCTTGGACTTTCACTGCAGTCCAATCAGAGACTACTAAAAGGTCTCTTGACACAGACTGGAAGTCATTTCCAGACCAATCAGGAAACAGTTCAGTACATCAAGGAGAAGATAGATGAGAATCTGTCTGAAGAAAAAACCATCAATCTGTTCCACTGCCTAAAAGAACTGAAAGATGGTTCTCTAGTGGAGGAGATCCAACAGTATCTGAGTTCAGAAAGTCACTCAGTAGAACTGTCTCCTGCTCAGTGGTCGGCGCTGGGTTTCGTCTTATTGTCATCAGGAAAAGATCTGGATGTGTTTGACATGAAGAAATATTCCTCTTCAGAGAAGGTTCTTCTGAGGATGCTGCCATTGGTTAAGGCCTCCAACAAAGCTCTGTAAGAACATTAATTGTTACTGCATTTTTTTGTTGATGGTAAGAAACCTGTTAATGATGAGGTGAATTAGACTAATGTGGTTTTAGTTTATCTACAATTAGCCAGTTAACAACATCAAGTGATAATCATATGTCTAAATTAAAGTAAAATTTTCCAGGAAGAATATTGGCGAAATAAACATCATTCTTTTATGAACTGTTTAGTAAGATATTTTTCTCCCTGTCTCCTCAGACTGAATTCCTGTAACCTCTTACCGAGAAGCTGTGAAGCTCTTTCCCCAGTTCTCAGCTGCCAGTCCTCTAGTCTCAGGGAGCTGGACCTGAGTAACAACAACTTGAAGAACTCAGGAGTGGAACTTCTCTGTGATGGGTTGGGGAGTCAGAACTGCAAACTAGAAATTCTCAGGTAAAATGTTCTTGGTCCTGTTAAAATCAGATGTTATTTTTTAGGACTAAGATCTCCAATCAGAGATGTTATAATTATACATTTTTCAACTTTTTGCATGATGTTTTTATTCCTTATGAAGACTGCTATAGAAACAAATCATTAGTCTTATTCAACAAAACAAGATTGATGGTTTTCATCCAAGCAAATTAATTTGTCCTTGCAAAGGAGAACAGATAAAATCTTTTTTTCTTTTACATGACCTGTTTACTATTATAGCTCTGAGAATTGACGTCCTGGTGCTGAATAATAGCCCGAAAAATCTTGCTTTGACTAGTGAGCAATCATGGTTGCCATAGGATTATATTTTATTGTGAATAAATTATTATATACTATTAATACTATTATTGCAAAATTTAATTGAGGAGACTATCTTCATGTTATCCATATTGTAAAAGATGGTTCTGGAATCCTGCGAGGCAAACCGACGCACAGTTTGCCTTTCAGTGAGGCGAATTGTGTGTTTTTCAGTAAGATCAGTGGAACGAGAGCACCAAACAAATTTGCAGGACCTTTGTTTCAGCGAAAACCAATCAGACACTAGATGTGACTGACCTAGAGTAAAGGAGCCTAGCAAAGGCAAGTTTGTCGATAGAAAAAATGATTTTTATGAAGAATGAAAAAGGAAATTTTGCTAAAAGGTTTGTAGGTGGAGAAAAAAAACTTTTTAATTTAGCTTCATACAGACACCAGCCAGCTGCTGTCTTTCCTTCCCACTATGGCTGCCACCATGGGGCCCCTGGGGAGCAGTGTGGGGGTTGAGGGTCTTTCAACAATCTTTTAGTTGCGGTGTGAACAGCTCACTGATGCGTGTCTACCCGGGCCAAAGGACTCAGCAAGTGACCCAACGCATGTTGTGGAAAGAGCCGGGTTGACTCACTAAATTACGTGATACCATTGAACGTAACGTGCAGACGTCAAGCACACTGCACCAGTCGCTTCTGATTTAACAAGCAGAAACTACTCTAATAAAGACAATAAAGCACACTGACTACGCCCTGGCTTCCTTCCATGTTGCTCTCAATTGTTTTTCAATCCAATTTCAATTCAGTTTATTTCTATAGCACCAATCAACAAAACATGTTATCTCAAGGCACTTAAGAGAGAGAACTCAACCAGATAAAGTCAAATTAGTTTAAAGTTTTCCAACTAAGAAAAAACAGCTGACTACATCTGCAGACGGGGAGAAAAAAGTTCATACATCCCCACCCCATCAAGCACATTTCCTGTTAGGTTAATATATCTTCCACTGGCCAGATGAAACATGTCACAACAGCTGTCTTCCATTCACACCATGAGGGAGGCTGAGGGATGCAGGGATGTCCACACACTCCTCCTTATGGGCTCCAATTCCTTATTATTTCTATTTCACAAGAGGGAACAGGAAGAAACATCCAGCAGAACCAAGCTCAGTGTAAGTGGCCATCTGCAGAGGCCATCTGGTATTCAAGGAGACAGAAGCAGACATAGAAAGATTTTAAATCAGATAGTAAGATTGGATATAGGGCTATAATTGACCAAGCCATCTGGATCAAGAGATTTGGCTTAGAAAATTACAAATAGTATGATTTCAGTATTGGAGTAACTTTTATTACTTCCAAGGAAAAGCACTACATATGAAGCTACAATTGTCCCATTTAGCAGTTTTCACAAACCCAAGGTGAGTCCTTCCTGCATTTGTGACAGGTATACTTTGTGCAGTGCACACAACGCTCAGAGCTGTGGTTTAATCAGGATTTATTGACAAATATATCTGAGTATCGTCATCATAACCAGGGAAATTAATAACAAGTGGGAAAGAAGATTATTGATTTAGATTTTTTCCCTTATTATTCAATCAAAAAAGTTTGCTGTATTTAAAAAAATGTTAAAAAAAGAAAAAAAAACTTCACTTAATAAAAAAAAACCTTTCCAATCAAAGACGAAAAGTTTGTGAATGCAAAAGTATATTTAAGTCCCCCCCAGAAAAAATACATATGAACACTGTTTTTCTTTGATTGAAAATCTTTATTTCGATAGAAGTGAAGGTTTTTTGTTTGAATCAACTCTTTGATTGAAGTATGTGAAGCTCAGAACAAAAGCACCAAGTTTTCGAGGCGGAGAGACAGTTAGGTTTCACAAAATTTTTATTGAACCTCTGCAGAGAACTTGGTGACCAAGAACACAGCTTAGATAATGAACGTGTGAGTAACTAACCTTGTCCTAAAGTTCAGTCTGTGCCCAGAGGACAAGTTTGGTTCCAGGTGGTTGGATGCCAATAATGTCAAAATCAGGGGCAATTTTAACGCTTGCTGAGTCATTTGACCAAGGTACACACATGTTGGTAAAAGCTGTAGTGTTCGGGGTGTTCTCTCTGTATGGGCATCTGTCTGTTAGTGTGTGAGAAACAGCAGCAGAGGAACAAAGGGACAGAGGGGAGACTTACCAAAATAAAATATGAAAGGATGTAACAGAAGCGCAACTGGGGCTCAAGCATTAACTTACCTTGTGGTGAATGTTGCTCTGGCAGTAAATCCCAAAATGAAAAATGTTGTCACATTTGGCGAGTAGGGCACGTTTCTTCGAACCCTAGATATACATATAGTTGGTAATAAAACACATTCAGGAGCTCTTAGTTAGAAAGTCCACTTCCAACAGTATATGTAAGTTTGAGTGTAAACTCAAATCTGTAAAGGATGATAATAGTTAAATAAATAAACCAGAAACACATTTTTTTCCTGAAAAGGATGTCATGCTGCTCTCTACTATGGCTAACTTGTGCTAGACTACTGGTAGCACATGGTGACTACATCTACTAAATCCAATTATTTATAATTATAAAAAAACATAAAAATATATGTTGGATAGAACAACATTCAAGCCTGCAACTTATACAATGTACAGATAAAATCAAGAAAGGGTAAACCTACATTTACATTATAAACTAACATGACTGTGATTTAAATCCATCACAGTGACGTCTGTTTTTTATTTCCTACAAAACAAAATAAAGTTTGTATATTATTTTGTTATATTGACATTGTAAACAATAGTGTCTTGTTTTGTTTTTTCTGTCCTACTAAAAGTTCAGTACTTTGCTTTACCTCCACTGTTGTATTTAATTGTGTGTCTGCAGCTTGTCAGGCTGTATTATATCAGAGGAAGGCTGCGCTTTTCTGGCCTCAGCTCTAAGCTCCAACCCCTCCCATCTGAAAGAGTTNAATTACAAATAGTATGATTTCAGTATTGGAGTAACTTTTATTACTTCCAAGGAAAAGCACTACATATGAAGCTACAATTGTCCCATTTAGCAGTTTTCACAAACCCAAGGTGAGTCCTTCCTGCATTTGTGACAGGTATACTTTGTGCAGTGCACACAACGCTCAGAGCTGTGGTTTAATCAGGATTTATTGACAAATATATCTGAGTATCGTCATCATAACCAGGGAAATTAATAACAAGTGGGAAAGAAGATTATTGATTTAGATTTTTTCCCTTATTATTCAATCAAAAAAGTTTGCTGTATTTAAAAAAATGTTAAAAAAAGAAAAAAAAACTTCACTTAATAAAAAAAAACCTTTCCAATCAAAGACGAAAAGTTTGTGAATGCAAAAGTATATTTAAGTCCCCCCCAGAAAAAATACATATGAACACTGTTTTTCTTTGATTGAAAATCTTTATTTCGATAGAAGTGAAGGTTTTTTGTTTGAATCAACTCTTTGATTGAAGTATGTGAAGCTCAGAACAAAAGCACCAAGTTTTCGAGGCGGAGAGACAGTTAGGTTTCACAAAATTTTTATTGAACCTCTGCAGAGAACTTGGTGACCAAGAACACAGCTTAGATAATGAACGTGTGAGTAACTAACCTTGTCCTAAAGTTCAGTCTGTGCCCAGAGGACAAGTTTGGTTCCAGGTGGTTGGATGCCAATAATGTCAAAATCAGGGGCAATTTTAACGCTTGCTGAGTCATTTGACCAAGGTACACACATGTTGGTAAAAGCTGTAGTGTTCGGGGTGTTCTCTCTGTATGGGCATCTGTCTGTTAGTGTGTGAGAAACAGCAGCAGAGGAACAAAGGGACAGAGGGGAGACTTACCAAAATAAAATATGAAAGGATGTAACAGAAGCGCAACTGGGGCTCAAGCATTAACTTACCTTGTGGTGAATGTTGCTCTGGCAGTAAATCCCAAAATGAAAAATGTTGTCACATTTGGCGAGTAGGGCACGTTTCTTCGAAC